AATGCAAATGATTTTGATTTTTTTTTTTTTTTGTCAGCTCGAGGTCTCTTGTCCCACAAGTCCTGGGGCTCCACAGTAAGTGACACAGACAGTGTGGGAGGAGGAAGTGGCCTGGGATCCCCAACTACCAGCACAGGTACAACTTCTTGGCATGACTTCTTTATATTAAACTAAATGATTTACTGTATTAAGAGAAGAAAATATATATATATATGCTTGTTTAAAATAAATGAAGGATATAATAAATGAATAGGCCTGGCTTATTTCAAAGTAAAATTAGTTTGTTTTTAGTAGTAAACTTGGCATTCCTTGGCATTCACTTCTTCTTTTTCGGTAGGTGACATAAGTAAAATGACCCGGACGTCATCTACAGGAACTATGTCATCAAATGAAGATGTTGATGAGAGAGACTCAAATGTTTCTTCCTTTGAAACTCCAAGTGAGAGAAAAGTGTGCACACATTTTCCTTTCTAATCTGTGCCCGTCATCAGGTTTCTCACCGTCTGCTCAACTTTTTGCAGATATAAACGGCATCGAGCCTGAGATTGTGGTGCCCACCGGGCCATTTCGGAACGTGGGGTTGTCGAAAGCCGCTCAGACGCACAAACTGCGTAAACTGCGCTCGCCGTCTAAATGCAGAGAATGCGACAGCTACGTTTATTTCCAGGGAGCGGAGTGCGAGGAGGTAAGGTTCACTACATCTTATTATAATTGGCCTTTTGTTTAAAATAAACCAGGGCTATTAATGTCTGGTTTCCTCTTTGCAGTGTTTCCTGGCTTGTCACAAACGCTGCTTGGAGACTTTGGCCATTCAGTGTGGCCACAAGAAACTCCAGGGTCGCCTTCAGCTGTTCGGGCAGGATTTCTCGCAGGTGTCCGGGAACAGTCCCGGCGGGATCCCCTTCATCATCAAGAAGTGCATCGCTGAGATCGAGAGAAGGGCTTTGAGAATGAAGGTACGCAAGCGACAAGTCCGATTCAGCAGGTCTCGGCCAATAGAAATGCAGGATCTTGATGAGTACATCCCTTCTCTCAGGGCATTTATCGAGTGAATGGGGTGAAGACGCGGGTGGAGAAGCTGTGCCAGGCGTTTGAGAACGGCAAAGAGCTGGTGGAGCTGTCACAGTCCTCCCCACATGACATCAGTAATGTACTGAAGCTTTACCTGCGGCAGGTGAGACTCCACTATATGGAAACATTTTGAAAACTCGTTCAATGTAATATCCTGGAAATTGGGGAGTTTGTATATTATATTCCATCAAGTCTTTTAAGACATTTTTTTTTTTTTACAGAATTTGCATTTGTTCACCCAAATGTAGCTAATGTATTAATAATCTTTTCATTTTTATGTGTTGTATTTTAATATTTTAATTTATATTACTTATATAACTGGGGGCATTTTGGGGTTCTTAAATTAACTAATTTATAATATATTTCTTTTAAAATTCACTCACGTTACATTTTTAGTTTTTATTTTCTTTCTTTTTGTCCTCTGTTGCTCAGCTTCCGGAGCCCATCATGCCCTTTCGCCTGTACAACAGTCTGATGGGTCTGGCAAAGGAAAGCCTGGCTGTAGTGGGTCCAGAGGGAGCTGAGACCGGTAAAGGGCCCGACCTGGTGGACCTCGGCCCAGAAACGGACCCTGAACTCTTGGCTCTCATCGAAAGACTTAAAAATCTCCTTAAAGAGCTGCCCAAACCAAACATCAGCACTCTCCGCTACATAGCGCGGCATCTGAGAAGGTAAAAGACAAAGAAAGGACTTCCTCTTACTTTTAAGAGCTTATAAACATAGCTTTGCAGACTCCATTAGCAGCCATTTATTAACCTTTTAAATGTGAAATGTCGCTCTGTTTTCAGGATTGCAGAGCTGGAAGATGACAATAAGATGAGTCCGTGTAATCTCGGCATTGTGTTTGGGCCCTCACTGATGCGGCCCCGGCCCTCAGGGGCCACAGTGTCACTGTCCTCTCTGGTGGATTACCCATACCAGGCCCGCATAGTGGAAACCCTCATTGTGTTTTATTCCTCCATTTTCCACTCTGAATCCAGTCGGCCTACATGCAGCAGCACCACATGCGCTCAATCCCTACAGCAGGTTTGTGACTCATATGCAGTGTTGGTTTTTAACAAGTCATCTCATTTAATAGATTTTTTAAATGTTTTTTTTTTTAGAAAGTATTAATGTAGTACAAATGTAATGTTTTGGTCTGTGCAGCAATGCAGCATTGAAGAAGAACACTGTTTGAATGATGAACAAAGGATCACGGATGAACCTGGTGCTGAAGAATCAGACAAGTTAGAGGGCCAAGGTATTACATTTCAGTATTTTATACTAATTTATTAAAAATAAATGATATAATAAATAAATAAAATGTGTTAATATATATATATATATATATATATATGTGTGTGTGTGTGTGTGATAATATATAAATTATATAATATATATATATATATATATATATATATATATTTAGTTGTATTTAACTTAACTAGTATAGTTAAAGATTAATTGTATAATTACTTTATAGTTTATTAATTTTATATCAATTAATCTATCTTAAATTTTGTAATTAAATATGGTACTCTTTTAAATACTTACTAACTTAAGTTGTTTTTTAATTACATTTATTTAACTTAAATATATATATATATATATATATATATTGCTAATATGAATAAAACAAGTTTTACATTTTATTTGTTTTAGTTCAGTTGAAAATAATGGTGACATCTAAACTAAGTTTATTTAACCATTTAAGTTGTTTTTTAATTGTACTTATTTGACTGCTTTATTGATTTATTCATATTTTATTTTAATTTGCATATCCATCTATAAACCATTATTTTTATACTCAAGTTGGTATATATATATATATATATACTCAAGTATATACGTGTGTTTTAAATCCTTTTTTGTTTTATTTTGCCATTTACGGAGATACTTTGTGTGTATTTATTAAAAATGTGTAATGTTGTATCCTGTCTCAGCAGAGAGTTCAACAGGAACCCCTGGTTCTCTGGAACAAAGTCTGGACTCTGATTCAGATCCAGACGAGGAACAGGGCAGAAGTGAACTCCAGCCCCCCAGCCCTACGGATCAGGCACTCGACGGGACCACCGAAGACCAAATGAGGCCGCCTGTCCTTCTGGTGAAACTGCAGTGCCCGTCCAGCTCAAACAACGAGCCCCCTGCCCTCCCCGAGAGCGAGCCACCAGAGTTAGAAGAAACAGAGGAAGTACCAACAAGCCCGCTTGCAGCGTTAAATATCAATCAGAGTAACAATAGCGGCAAAACACTCGATCTCTGAGTTTCTCCCAACTGGGGTTTGTTTGTGACGTTCCTATGTATTTTTAAAGATGCGTTTTAATATTTAAAATACTTCACCTTAAAGGCCTTTTTTATTGGTTTTCAGCTTTATTTTACAAACAGCGGTACGCCTCCGGTGTCATCAGGCAACAATCTATCATGCATTCTATCCTATGAGATCACTTTATACTCATCGTTGAATATCTGTTAAATTTTGTTTGTGCTCCTCTTTTAATAAACAAAAAAAATGTAAATCATTTTCTGTTCACTTTGCACTGCTCGCAGTTATATGACAAGCTGTAAAAAGAAATGATACAAGGAGAGACTTACTACGACTTATTAGTTAAAAAAGGAAAAAAAAGGAAATTCAGACCACTTCCAGTTGTTGGAGGAAGCACTGAACCAGTAGGTGGCGATGTCACTTTGTAAAGAAACTATGCAACCTAAGGACTGAACACCTAATGATGACAATGATGGTATAGTTTTCAAAAACTTGCACTTTGAAACCAGTTTTCAAAAGTTCAGTCCCCCAAAACACTGTTGTGTAAATGAACAGCTAAAATGCATAGTATTTTCAGTGTTTAGTTAAACTGTGGCCCTAAACGGCCCATATTTATTCTGTTTTTGCAAAACATTGTTGCAGCTGAATACCATGAACAAAAAACAGCCTAAAGAACTAATATGCTAGACTAATATCAATTTAAAACATTAAAGGCAAGCATACAGTCAGTAATACAATAATAACAAATAAGTAAACTACATTTCAATTCAATTTCTGAACTTTGATCAGTTGTATTTATTTATGATATTGCTATTTTGCTTTACATACATAAAATATAGATTGATCCTTATTACAAAAGTTAATTATTTTGTTCTTTGATTAACAATAATGACACTGATGGCAGAGGTTTATTACGCTGTTGTCACTTTAAGATCTGAGTACACGTGTGACGGATTCTGCGCAGTTTAATATATATATATATATATATATATATACTGTATATCAATGCAGGAGCCAATCGGAAGAAAGATGTGGAGGATCTTCAGATTAGGACGCTGGGCGATTAATCGAAAAATAATCGAAACCGAAATTCAAATACTGAGTCAATGTCAGCAACAGGAGCTGCTTGTACCAAAGAAACACGTGAAAAAAGAGAGAGACTGACATATGAAATGGATTCGGTTTTTTTTTTTTTTTACAAGTTATATTTTACTTTTAAGATGGCAATATTTACAATAATTTATTTTCGTTTACAAAAAGAACTCTTTTCTACATTTTTTTAAAAATATTTTTAAATATTTAATGAGCATTAAAAGCTATCTGTGTGTTTCCTTATTTTAGAATCTCAAAGAGAGGATTATGCACTCTTTCATTAGAAAATAAATGCATAACTATTTACAGTATAAGCCTTGCCAGTGACATGAGAAAGAAAAAATTTTAAAATAATCGTTCAATAATCGTAATCGAGGTGACTTGTTCGATTAATCGTGATTATGGTTTTGCCAAAATTGTCCAGCCCTACTTCAGATCCAATATACTGTTACACATGCGTTTTCGTTCTCAACTGTTTATGTTCACTTAAGACGTCGCCAAAAGCGTTTAGGAGGATTCCAGAATTGGAATTGATTTGATTCCCAACCTTACACTAATGAACTGAAATACAACAGAAATACTTACTTCACAAGCATTACTGGACCAATCTGTATGTGATGTACCGTCCAGCAGTTTCACTCGGTCTGATGATCTTAACAACCTGAAAAACACGACACAAGTTACTTACACCAAATATTTTCAGAGATGTGAAAATAAGAAAGCTGCACTTTAGATTAATTTCCCACCTGGCCTCTTTTTAAGCCAAAGTAACGGGCGACGGGATCCCCAGCTTGAATTCTGGGAAGCTGGCTTTCCTTTAGTTTACTGGAGAGGAGCTGGTTAAGGCTAACCAGAAGTCTCCAACCTAAAGCTATAACTACAGATAAGTTCTACAGAAAACCATTCAATTGAGTGTGAGCAGATAAAGTGACTACATGCTTCCAGGTACAAAAGGATACTATCGTGCTAGCAACTCGGTTACTTCCTCTTTAGTCATCACTATGTGCTCTGGAACAAGCTGAAAAGAATTATCACATTTTCGTTGCACAAAAACTGGCAAAAAATCTAAAACGTGCTGAAAGTCCATGTTAAAATGCAGGTTTCTTCTCACCTCGTGTTCAGTAATGTTGATTAGAAGCTCCTGCTGAAGAAACTGCTCAAGGATGTACTTTGGTGCCATGTCTACCAGAGACTGAAATATGAAAGACAAACCAAGTTGAATATCTTGCGCGATACAGCAGCTGCAGTCTGCAGGAATCACATTTTCGTCGGCCAAAACTCAAACGGTTTGAGAACATCTGGTTCCATCATTTGGAAGTCAATGGGTTAAATGCTTGAAATGATGTCTGTGGTTGACACAAGCTCCAAATATTTTTGTGTTTTATTCTATAACACAAAATACATCTGTAAAACCTGTGATTCGATTAAAGCTTTTAGCTGTCTCAAAAAAGTGTGGTTGCTAACAAGTGTCTAAAAGTGACTACATTATTTGCCGGGGGCATTAACCGTCATCAGCCGAACAGCTAAACCCAACTACTCTAGTCCAGTTTCACAGCTGGATTATCGGACAAGACTGCATACTTTAAATCTTTCATGAGAGAGAGAACTACAATCCCATGATGCATTGCAAATGATTATTAAGACAGTAGGTGTGTTTGACTTGAAATCCCACCAATCAGAGGCTGTGTCTGAAATCTCCACTCAAACCACTACTCCCTACCCCCTATGTACCCCCCATCATTGCTGTCGCCCGTCCGTCTTTTTTACGATCAGCGCAATGCATGATGGTATGTAGGGCTTGGGTTAGTGACCATCGGTTGTACACTACTTTTCAAAATGCATTCTGGGATACATTGATTGGACTATATAGGGTATAATAATCATCACTATACATTCGGACAGCACTACAAAATGGTGAGCTCACTATATAGCCCACTATATAGTGAGGAGTGGGAGATTTCGGACACAGCCAGAGTCACAGTGAGCAAATTGCAGCCACTCCCATAAATCACCACAAATTATGTGATAAGGTGAGTTTCAACCTGAATACATCAAAACTCTGACTCTCAATTTCATAATTTGCAGTCACATGACTACCATGGATGCCTGGCAGGCAACAAACGGGTATTTTCAACGTAGAGACATGTAGTTCCAGTACTTTCTAATAGCTATCAAGTCTGTTAGCGAGCTAGCTGCATAACTATGGACTAGGATTAACTGCAAGGTGAGGGTATTTAAATTGTGTAAAGCAGACAAGGTTTTTTTTTTTTAGACAATCAAGCGGTAATAATTCAGCCGTAAATAATCCAGCTCTACTGTTCTCATTGAAAACCATAGATATCACAAACCTCAAAACAACCCATCACACACTTTTGTTGTTGTTAGAAAAATACGACAGCTGCGTTTAAACCGCCAGAGCTGAGATATTGAGATCCCACGTAGCATTTATGCCATTATAAATAACTCAATATCCCAGCTCTGGAAGGGTCTAGAGCCTCCATTTTGGCACTCAGGTCGAAGTCCCATGGCCCTCTATCAGAATCCAGAGTTTCAAGAAGATCAGAGAAACTCAAAATTTCGACCCAAAGAAAAAACCATCAGTGGTACCCGTTTCGTTTTTTTTTTTTTTTTTTGGTGCGAAAAAAAAGTTTCTCCAATCTTCTTGAAACTTTGGATTCTGATAGAGGGCCATGTGACTTACACCTGAGTGGGTACATGGGACTTACACCTGTGTGCAAAAATGGAAACTCTAGACCCTTCCAGAGCTGAGATATTGAGTTATTTATAATGGCATAAATGCTACGTGGGATCTCAATATCTCAGCTCTGGAAGGGTCTAAAGCCTCCATTTTTGCACTCAGGTCTAAGCCCCATGGCCCTCTATCAGAATCCAGAGTTTCAAGAGGATCAGAGAAACTCAAAATTTCGACCCGCCCAAAAAAAAAAAACGACAGTGGTACGTACCCCTTTCGGGTTTTTTTTTGGTGCGAAAAAAAAAGTTTCTCCAATCTTCTTGAAACTTTGGATTCTGATAGAGGGCCATGGGACTTACACCTGAGTGCAAGAATGGAGAGTGTAGACCCTTCCAGAGCTGAGATATTGAGTTATTTATAATGGCATAAATGCTACGTGGATCTCAATATCTCAGCTCTGGAAGGGTCTAGAGCCTCCATTTTTGCACTCAGGTGTAAGTCCCATGGCCCTCTATCAGAATCCAGAGTTTCAAGAAGATTGGAGAAACTTTTTTTCCGCACCAAAAAAAAAAAAAAAAAACGACAGTGTTACCCCTTTTGTTTTGTTTTTTCTGTGCGAAAAAAAAAAAGTTTTGCGGTAGGTGGTATGCCATACGGAACCATTGCCACTGAAACGCATTGCCACGACAGTGGCGCTCGCGGGTTGGCGCGTATGTTTGGGTTGCGGAGAGTTTGTGAGATTGTGGTTTTCTAACACCTACTCCTTGGAAATCATTATGAACATCAGCTATGCTAATTATTTCCCATCTGCCTTTTCTGCTGTTATCTCGGGATGCTTGTCCCGAGAAAAATGGCGTTCGTCAGGTCCAGTTTTGTATCCAGCCTCTCATGGAGACTTCAAATGCCCCAACGCCTGTGGTGAGAAGACCAACGCCTGTGAAAAAACAACGCCGGCGATATATTATGCCCTTAATATTACATGACTAACCAAATGTATTTTTTTCCATGTACTTTTCTGATATGCATTTTCTGTAAAGCTGCTTTGAAAAAATATGTATGTTAGCCAGAAGAGAACTGGCCCTGACTGAGCCTGGTTTCTCCCAAGGTTTTTTCTCCATTCAATCGCCTGATGGAGTTTTGGTTCCTTGCCACTGTTGCCTTGCTTTTGGCTTGCTTAGTTGGTGACATTTAATATTCAATAATATTATTGATCTGTGTTGTATTGCTTTCATGTTGTCAGTGTGAAGCTGCTTTGATGCAATTTGTATAGTACAAATCTATATCTGTAATAGAATCTATAATATGGCGTTCGTCAGGTCCAGTTTTGTATCTAGCCTCTCATGGAGACTTCAGATGCCCCAACGCCTGTGATGAGAAGACCAACACTGGCAATATATTATGCCCTCAATATTACATGAGTAATTAAATGTATTCTTTCCATGTACTTTTCTGATATGCACTTTCTGTAAAGCTGCTTTGAAACAATATGTATGTTAGCCAGAGGAGAACTGGCCCCCGACTGAGCCTGGGTCTGTGTTGTATTACTTTCATGTTATCAGTGTAAAGCTGCTTTGATACAATTTGTGTTGTACAAATCTGTATCTACAATAAAATCTATAATATCTACATCTATAATATCTATAATAAACGGTTAGTGAATAGTATCTATAGTATCTACATCTATAATAAATTCTATAATATCTACTTCTATAATAAAATCTACAGTATCTACAACTATAATAAATCTATAATATCTACATCTATATTAACATCTATGTATCTACAGCTATAATATCTACATCTATAATGACATCTATAATATCTACATCTATATTAAAATCTATAATAAACTCTACAATATCTACATCTATAATAGAGTGTCAGTGTCTATAATATCTATAATACAATCTATAATATATACATCTATACTCTAGTGTTGGTCTATAATATCTACATCTATAATCTAGTGTCAAAAACAGAAAATACAAAAACAAACAGAAAAAACAAACAAAAAAAAATGACAGGGGTTATTTTGAGTTTCGATATCTCAGCTCTGGAAGGGTCTAAAGCCTCCATTTTTGCACACAGGTCTAAGTCTCATGGCCCTCTATCAGAATCCAGAGTTTCAAAAAGATCAGAGAACCTCAAAATTTCGATCCCCCCCAAAAAAGACAGTGTTACCCCTGTCGGGTTTTTTTTTTTGGGTGCAAAAAAAAAGTTTCTCCAATCTTCTTGAAACTCTGGATTCTGATAGAGGGCCATGGGACTTACACCTGAGTGCCAAAATGGAGGCTCTTGACCCTTCTAGAGCTGAGATATTGAGATATTTATAAGGGCATAAATGGTAAGTGGGATCTCAATATCTCAGCTCAGGAAGGGGCTAGAGCCTCCATTTTTGCACTCAGGTTTAAGTCTCATGACCCTCTATCAGAATCCAGAGTTTTGAGAAGATTGGGGATACTTAATTTTTCCCCCCCAAAAAAAAAAACGTAAGGGGTAACACTGTTTTTTTTTTCTGGTTGAATTTTTGAGTTTCGATATCTCAGCTCTGGAAGGGTCTAGAGCCTCAATTTTTGCACTCAGGTCTAAGTCTCATGGCCCTCTATCAGAATCCAGAGTTTTGAGAAGATTGGGGATACTTAATTTTTCGCCCAAAAAAAAAATGTAAGGGGTACCACTGTCGTTTTTTTTTTCGGGTCGAAATTTTGAGTTTCGATATCTCAGCTCTGGAAGGGGCTAGAGCCTCCATTTTTGCACTCAAGTCTAAGTCTCATGGCCCTCTATCAGAATCCAGAGTTTTGGGAAGATTGGAGTAACTTAATTTTTCGCCCCCCCAAAAAAAACGTAAGGGGTACCACTGTCGTTTTTTTTTTTCGGCCGAATTTTTGAGTTTCGATATCTCAGCTCTGGAAGAGGCTAGAGCCTCCATTTTTGCACTCAGGTCTAAGTCTCATGGCCTCTATCAGAATCCAGAGTTTTGGGAAGATTGGAGAAACTTTAATTTTCGCCCAAAAAAAAAAAAACGTAAGGGGTACCACTGTTGTTTTTTTTTCGGGCCGAATTTTGAGTTTCGATATCTCAGCTCTGGAAGGGGCTAGAGCCTCCATTTTTGCACTCAGGTCTAAGTCTCGAAATGGCCCTCTTCAGAATCCAGGTTTTGGGAAGATTGGAGAAACTTAATTTTTCGCCCCAAAAAAAACGTAAGGGGTACCACTGTCGTTTTTTTTTCGGGCCGAATTTTTGAGTTTCGATATCTCAGCTTCTGGAAGGGCTAGAGCCTCCATTTTTGCACTCAGGTCTAAGTCTCATGGCCTCTATCAGAATTTGGGAAGATTGGAGAAACTTAATTTTTCGCCCAAAAAAAAAAACGTAAGGAGTACCACTGTCGTTTTTTTTTTCGGGCCGAATTTTTGAGTTTCCAATATCTCAGCTCTGGAAGGGCTAGAGCCTCCATTTTTGCACTCAGGTCTAAGTCTCATGGCCCTCTATCAGAATCCAGAGT